ACAGATACCACAATCCATACAGATACACACTCAGATACACACACAAGAGAGAGAGGGGAGACAGAGACAGAGACAGAGACAGAGAGCAAGCAAGCTCTGGTACAGTCTCCTCCAAACACACCTGGTTGCACACACGTCAAGCACCAGGAAGGAGGACCTAGCCATACAAACTGTTTGTCCTATAGCCCTGGAAAGAGTATATGCCTCCGCAGGGAGATAGGCCCACTTGGGAAGGACAAAAGCTAGTGGTCCAGCTATGCCACCTGGGTGGGGTCCTCAAGCCTTGTGCCTTGTTCCTCCTCCCCACAGCTGCTTAATGATTGACAGGCAGCCCCCTTGGGAAGGCCTTATAGTTTCTGAAAGGGTTACAAGCAGGTGGCCAATCTCTGGTTCTGCCATCAAAGGGAGGCGCCTGCTCTTTTGTCCCCTCTCTCCCCTGAGAGCCCCTGTGGCTGCTCCCAGCCCATCCACCCCCCTTCCCATGGAGTCTTCGCTCCCGCCCCCCATTTCCCAGCAGAAGGGCTGCAGCCAGACAATGAGATAAGGCCTTGTTTTCTAAAGACTGGAATTCGGGAATTAGGCAGAGCTTGTGTGTGGGTCAGGGCCAGAGCACCCTGCTATGGGGAAGCAGGGAGCCTTTGTACTAGGTGGAGGTCCCTGGGGCCCCAGGCCTATAGGGACTTGACCTCTGCCCCCCCTTTAGGATGGCTCCGCTACGAGTTTGGGAGAGGGGAAGAATCCCTTAGAGTTGGCTCTGTCTCTGCAGGTGGCCTCTGGCTGCATCTCCTCACTTCTCAGGCCCCCTGGACTTCTTCCCACAGGGTCTGCCACCTTCCTGTGGCCCATGCTGTCCCCTACCCAAGTCACTCTCCCCTCCTCCATCACTTGCTTAGTAGACTGTCCTGTCGCCAAATACAGTAGTTTCTTCCAGGAAGCCTGCCTGGCGGCCATGCCTTTCCAACACACCACCTGCAGACACAGCAGGAAGAAGAAGGGGAAATGACAGAGAGGGGCATGGTCAGCACCTGAGACCAGATGAAGTCCCCTAGAGGCACCTCGTTAGACTGGGTCTCCCCTCTCAGACCAGCTTGCTCCAAGCCCACCACAGACAACTAGGAGGGTTGAGTTCCTGACCTCCCGTCACCTTTTGGTCCTGGTAAGTCTGAGTGTACCACAGCAGAAGCACCAAGTTCCAGGGCTTTGCAGCAGCGCCAACATCAGGATAAACAGAGAAGTCTCCCATGAGCCAGGCACAGGGTCATTACCAGAAAGGTACAGCCTCCAGTTCTCACCATAGTTGGGGACTCTGGGCACAACTTGTCTACTGACACTCAGCTGGGAGTGGAGTGGGAGAATCTTATTCTCTCTCTCTCTCTCTCTCTCTCTGAAACAGGGTTTCTCTGTGTAGCTTGGGAGCCTGTCCTGGCACTCGCTCTGGAGACCAGGCTGGCCTCAAACTCACAGAGATCCTCCTGCCTCTGCCTCCCGAGTGCTGGGATTAAAGGCGGCATGAGCCACCACCGCCTGGTGAGGGGGCGGGATTTTATTTTCCTTGCTATTGTTTTATTTTGCTGAGACAGAGTCTCTCACTCTAGTGCAGACTGGCCTGAAGCTCTCAACCATGCTCCCGTCTCAGCCTCCCAAAGGACTGGGATTACAGGCATGAACCACCATACCTACCTTTTTGCAGTGCTGGGGAACCAACCCAAGGGTCTCATATTGCTAGGCAGGTGCACGGTCACACAGTGCTCTTGGGCATGACTTCCATGGAAACGTCTTGTCTCCCAAGGACAATAGTATAGGAAGGAAGGGATTTCTAGATACCTCTGTGACTCAGTTTCCCATTATCCCCTGGGGGATTATACCTCCAGCCCCAGGAGAAGACATCCTTGAGTCCCCTGCCCGGTACCTAGTTAGTCCTCGGTAAAACCATATTGAAGGCTGGACATGGTGGCTCATTCCTGTAATCCCAGCACTTGGAAAGCTACAGGGAGATTTCTCAGAATGAGATCTAGGTTAGTATGATAGTCTGCAGCGTGAGATTATATCAAAAACAAACAACCCCAACAGAGGTACTGGAGAGATGGCTCAACACTAAAAACACACACCTTGTAACTCCAGCTCCAGGGTGTCCAAAGCCCTCTTCTGGCCCCAATGGGCAACTACACTTGCGTGTACATCCTCCCCACTCCCCCATACACACATAATTTACAAAGTTTTAAATTCATTTTATGAGAGACAGAGAGGGGAGAGAGAGAGAGAGAGAGAGAGAGAGAGAGAGAGAGAGAGAGAGAGAGAGAGAGAGAGAGAGATGGAGCTAGCTGGATATGTATCCCATTTGGTAGAGTGCTTCCCTAGGATGCACAGAGTTCCCAACACAGTATAATCTGGGCATGGTGGCACACACCTGTAATCCCAAACGGGACAGTAGAAGTTCAAGGCTACACAGTGAGTTCAGAACTAACCTGGGATACATGAGACCCTGTTTCAGAAGAGAAAAATTAAAAGGAGCTACTCCTTAGGTGCAACATGGCACCACATATGATTCCTGGACTTGAGGAACTCACAGAAGCAGCGTCTGCAGTCTGCTTCCTCCTGTGTGAAAGGACAGTGGTGGGCTCAGCAGTATTCTCAGCACCCAGGTGGTTTAGAGGCTGGCACGCTTAACTAAGTTAAATCTGCAGTGCCGCGAACAGTGCCAGGTGCACACTAAAAGTCACCTGGAGTCAGCTGCATAAAAGATTACCCCTTTAGCAAAGCGAGGAGCTATCATTCCAAATTCTCCTAGTCGGCACGGCGGAGACGAGCTACGACTCCCAGCGTGCTGCGGGACTCACCATAATTGTATAAAGTTCCACAGAGGACTACAACTCCCAGAGTGCCCCGGGCCTACCCCGCTCCGGTCGGTCCGCACCGGGTCAGAATAGTCCAGCCTCCCGGATCCCCGGCAGGCCCGGAAGAGTGTCCACCGCTCCTGCGCGCAAGGCAGGCGGGCGGCACAGCCATGCTCCGCAGACTGGCCCGGGCTGCGGTCCCGGGGCTCAGGGTGCCCTGGGCGCGGTGGTCTAGGAACTGGGCGGGGGTCCCGGCCCAAGTAGTAGACCTGCGCAGCGACACGGTGACCCGGCCAGGGCCGGCCATGAGGCGCGCCATGGCCGAGGCGCTCGTGGGAGACGACGATTACGGAGAAGACCCCACGGTCCACGGTGAGCCGGGCGAGCAGGCCCGGGGCAGGGGTCGCTGCGGTGACCCCGGGACACTGTCCGTGGTGCTGACGGGAGGACAGCATGGACGCAGAGTGGAGAGCCTCCCATGGCCTTTGAGGACGCACCTACAAGCTAGGTGGTGCACTCTGCGCCCCTGCTCGTTCTCCTGCAGATCCTCGGTAATGCAGACTCTTGAGCTCCACGTTGGACGTGGGGAGCCAGAATCTGCATTTTAACTGGACCGCAGGGTGATTTCTGTCCACTGTCCCCCAACTGCCCAGATGGGTGTTGTCCAGCCTTGCAAAGAATGGCTCTGGGGTGGCCAGAGTGGAGCTCAAGGACCCGTATCAGGAACAGGGAAGAACCAGGGTTGGAGATGTCTTATAACTACTCTCCTTCATTCACTGACTGACTTCACAAAGACAGAACCAATCGAGGAAAGGTTTCTGGGCTTGCCGCACCTTCCCAGGGGCAGAATTTCATAACCTAGGCAGTGCTTTAAGGAGACAGCAAACCAAAGCCCACCCGGGGTCGACAGTCACTGTTAAAGTGGACTTCTGTGTTGCTGGGGTGTGTGCAGCTTCTGGGCGTCAGAGATAACCCTGAGATCACCACTTTGACCCCTGGAGGCCTGTTTGTGGGCCCAGGGGTTATTGAGGCTGATACCAGGAACTTCAAAGATGCTGAGCTACTCCTCTCAGCCGACACCTGGGGTGTAAACAGGTCCCCACATCAAGGCTGGGGAGGTGCTTGCTTCAGGGATCTGGGGCTGGGAGGAGGACAGAGTAGAGCTTGCTAAAGTCTGAGTGTCAGCATTCAGGGTGCAGGGAGACACCTGTGTCTTCTGGGGACAGAATCTAAATCACTTTAGCGTCGGATGTCCTGCCACGGAGGGAAGCCACCTTGGGCTTTAGACAGCCCTCTCACTCACCCACTAGCTACACCCTTGATGCCAGCTCCCCCGACTCCTCCCTAGTGATGTGGAGAGGAAGTCTGCGGGGGGGAAACCGCAGGGCCTCACCTGCCAGGGCTGATGGGAAAGGAAGAAAAACAGGTGTGAGGTTGGGGTGGGAAAGGGGGTTCAAACCGCTAGACAGTTTCGGTGGCCTGGGGCAGGGGACTGTGACCCAGGAGGAAGTAACATGCAGAGGACTGACAGAGGGGCTCTGGACATGTCACGTGATTACCAAGACCCACAGACTACAATGGATGGTAGATGGGCTCCAAGCCCCGCCATGGGCCCTCATCTGAACAAATGCCCTTTTTTGGAGGGAGGGGCTTAAGACAAGGTCTTGCCATGTAGCTCAGGCTGCCCTCAAACTCAGCTCTCCCCCTGCTGCAGCAGAAGCAGAGAAGTACAGGTGCACTCCATCACACCCAGCAACAAGTCATCACTGAACTGTACCAGGGGACAGTGGCTCTGAGCAATTGTTGATAGGCGCGTTCTTGCTCTACCCTCCCTTCTCCCTTCTCAGAACTGCAGGAAAAGGCTGCGAAGCTGCTTGGGGTGGAGCGGACCCTGTTTGTGCCCACCAACACCATGGCCAACCTCATCTCTGGTGAGTGTTCACCACCCTCTGAGCTGGGGTCTGTGGCTCTGGTGGACACATTCCTGGGTTTCTTTTGGGTGCAGCCAGTGGAGCACCCTGGCAGAAGGCAGGGGGTGAGTTAGGTCTGCAAGTCTCTGCCACTCCCTAGCTCTTTTTTCTGGGCGCTTACCTTGCAGCCCTGGCCAGGATTGATCCCCAGTGTGCTTTTGTCCTTAGTCTTCCGACAGGGCCTAGTTGCTGCTAGTGCCCTGGGCTGCCTGTTCCCAGTGACAGCACCCTGGCACTCTTCCCTGCTGGAAGTGTTCTGCAGTGGGCCACAGGGCTCTAATGCAGGTTGTTGGCAACCTAGCCCAGAGTTGTGTGTCACACTAGCCTTTGCATCACACAACAGTGAGGTGTTTGAGGGTTGACGCAGCTCCCTAACTGACAGAGGTGGTCTGAGCTCACTGGGGCTCCAGGCTCAGCTTGGCCACGCTGAGCAGGGGCAGTGGGACCCTCTTGGACCCAGTTCCAAGTCCTTTCCTCCTCCCATATATCTCAGTGATGGGTCACTGCCGGCGCCGGGGTTCCCAGGTCCTCCTTGGGCAGGAATGCCACCTCCACGTCTATGAGCAGGGCGGGGTGGCTCAGGTAAGGACCAGGTACCGCTCCCCTGGGGCCTTGGACATCCTCCAGCCAGTTGGGATGCCAAGGTAGGCACCTGCTTCCCAGACACCAGGCCAGAACCAGCAGAGGGGAGAAAGGGAAAGGCACAGGGAAGCCAGCTGGGAAGATGGGAGGGAGGGCCTGGGCCCAGATTTGCTCATCTGCCTCGGTGCCTTACTGCCCTCTAGTGGGAAGATGGAGCACTAGCACTCCAGAAAGGCACCGAAAGACATCTGGACAGAAACTAGCAGCAAGGGGCCAGCAGCTTCCCCAGATAGGATACTAATGCAGATAGATGCTCAGAACACTCTGGACCCCAATGGTGGCTCCTACTGCAGAGGAGCCTTCCTACCTGGAGGAGCCACTAGACCCACCTGATCCAGTGTCCTCTTGGCCTTCAGATTGCCGGGGTGCACTCCCAGCCCCTCCCAGACATGCCCCATGGCACCTTGGACCTGAATGAGCTGGAGAGAGCACTCACTCGGGGCTTTGGGAGTTCCTACCATCCAGTCTGCGAGCTCGTGTGCCTGGAGAATACACACAGCAGCGCCGGGGGCCGGGTCCTCTCCATCGACTACCTCCGCCAGGTAGGCTGCCTCCCAGCTGGACCCCAATAGCAGCTCACTCTTGACTTTCTGTGCCCCCTGAACAGTCCCTATGCCTAAGGATAACCCTTCCTACACATGCCATGGGCGCCTATCAGCGGGCGGAATGTCGTAGGGGGATGAATGTGTTGGTCCTAGGCTGAAAATGGCTTCAGGCTCCTGATCTATCTGAGGACAGAAACATGAGCAAAGGATGACTTCTCAGGTCCCAAATACACAGAGACAGCAGGCTTCTGAATCTAGACCACTCATGCTGAATCTAGACCATTCCTCAAGATGCTGAGCTCTGGGGAGATTGAGTGGTTAAGAGCAGTTGCTACTTTTTTCCAGAGGCTGAGTTGGGCTGGATCAAAATATCTGTAACTCCGGCTCCAGGGGATCCAGTATCCTCTTCTGGCCCCATAGACATGCCACTATACATGGCACACACACCCCCACCTCCCACACACACATAAAATAGAAATAAATCTTTGGGGGTTTTTTGTTTTGTTTTTTGAGACAGGGTTTCTCTGCAACTGTCCTGGAACTTGCTTTGTAAACCAGGCTGACCTCAAACTCACTGAGATCCACCTGCCTCTCCCTCCCAAGTGCTGGGATTAAAGGCGTGCGTCATCACTGTCGGGCAATGGTTCAGTGGTTAAAAGCACTGGCTCTTCCAAAAGACCTGAACCCGATCCCCAGTGCCCACATCAGGCAGCTCACGCCATTCTGTAACTGCAGCTCCTGGGGGACTCCAGTGCCTCTGGTTTCCACAGGAGTTTGCACTCATGTACATATCTACATGCAGATACATACCAGACTAGTTAGTAATAAAATAGTAAGTTTTAAAAATCTTTTTTAGAAAATGATGCCAAGCCCAGATGCTCTCCCTACCCTGGCCCCTCCTTGACTGTTGCCTGACCTTTGCCTGACCTTTGCTTCCAGGTGCACCTCTTGGCCCACATGCATGGAGCTCGGGTCCACCTGGATGGGGCACGGCTGATGAATGCAGCTGTGGCTCTGTGTGTGCCCCCTGCTCGCCTCGTGGAGCACTGTGACTCTGTGTCCTTCTGCTTCTCTAAGGTGGGCCGACCATCCTGAGGCAGATAGGGTGTGGGCACCCCACTGAGGGTACAGCTAGATCCCTGAGCTCCAGGGCTCCCAGAGCCTGCCAGACCTGCGAGCCCTGGGCAGCACACCCACCTCCCCACCTCTAGGAAAGGCTGTGAAAATAGGCCCGTCTCTCCTCTCTTCTCTTAGGGCCTCGGTGCACCAGTGGGGGCTCTGCTTGGGGGAGCCAAGGACTTCATTGAAGAAGCCTGGCGCCTCCGCAAAGCCCTGGGTGGAGGCATGCGGCAGGCTGGCGTACTGGCTGCGGCTGCCCTGGTGGGCCTGGCTGAGGCAGAGGAGGTGCTGCCAAGGGACCACGAGAATGCCCAGAGATTTGCTAAAGGTGCCTGGACCAACCCCCACCCTCACTTGACTTCTCCCTACTGACTGGGCATAGATGTCCCCAGCCGCAGGACCAGGTTCCCAGCCGCAGGACCAGGTCCCCAGCAAGCTTCTAGGAGGGCCCGGATCTTCTTGCCTCACCGGGCCCCTGCTCCGTGGGCCACTCACACAGGGATGCAACCAGTTGTGTCAGGAACCAAGCCAGCATGGAGCCTCTAATATGGGCCTTCTATACATTTTCTAAATTCTCCTATGATGATATGGGCCTTCTATACATTTTCTAAATTCTCCTATGATGATATGGGCCTTCTATACATTTTCTAAATTCTCCTATGATGATATGGGCCTTCTATACATTTTCTAAATTCTCCTATGATGTCCCCATGCCTGAGACCCAGAGAAGTAGAAAAGCAGGAGCCAAATCATGTTCCCAAATCAGGACTCAGGGTCTGTTCCCAACCACAAGATAATGGGGCTGCTCTTCTGCCTTCCCTGCAGGGTGGTGGCCCACGGTTGGGCCCTGGGGTGGGACTGTACTCACCACTGTGTCTGGCTCCAGGACTCCAGGACCTGGCATCACCCATTTGTTCTGTGGATCCTGTCACTGTGGAGACCAACATAGTGCTGGTGCAGGTGGCTGGGCTGCCTCCCGCAGAGCTGTGCCAGCGTCTACAGGCTGTGAGCGCTGAGGAGGTGGCTCAGACTGGCTGTGCCGTGAGCGTGTTGCTGTTTCCCTGGACAGAACACTCCGTGCGGGTTGTGTGGCACCGAGACGTGTCTGCTCAGGACACGGAACTGGCCCTGAGGAAGTGGGAGTTTGTGCTGAGACAGTTGAGGCCCTGAGGTCAGGGAACCAGGGATCCTGTGACCCTCTTAGGATTGAAGTGGGGAGCCATTAGCCTGGTGGAGGGTGACACCACTCAGCCTCTGCTTTCCTCCAGTGACTCTCATGTGATGGCCTCATTCAGTCAGGAGTAACCGGGCACAGGCCAAGATAAAATGTGGCTGAAGGTCAAGAGAAGGAAATGGGGGGCTGGAGAGATGGCTCAGAGGTTAAAAGCACCAACTGCTCTTCCAGAGGACCTGAGTTCAATTCCCAGCAACCACATGGTGGCTCACAACCATCCATTATGAGATCTGGTGCTCTCTTCTGGTGTGCAGATAGACATGGAAGCAGAATGTTGTATACATAATAAATAAATAAAACGTTAAAAAAATTTAAAAAAAGAGAGAAGGAAATGGAAATAGGAAACAGATCCCCAGGCTGGGACATGTAATATGGCTGCCTGGTGTGCATCGGCCCTGGGTTCAATCCCCAGCCCTGTATAAACAGGTGCAGTTTATACTAATACTAGCATGCTGGAGGATTAGAAGTTCGAGGTCATTGCCAGCTACAGAGTGTGACCCGATCCTGGGCCACATGAGACCCGTTCTCCAAACAAACAGATCCTTATGTGACGGGCATAGTTATTAGAGATGGACTGTGAAATAAAGTATCGAAGGAGCTGTATTGGTTACCTTTGTGTCCTGGCTAAATAAAGACAGAAGCAACAGGTTTGAATCCCAGCACCCACACGGCAGGCAGCTCACAACTGCGGCGGTGGGGCTCGGCGGCTTTTGGTGGAAAGATTTATCGTAACACACAACCATCTCTAACTCTAGTTCCAGGGGATCTGACACCTTCTTCTGGCCTCCACTGGCATCAGGCATAGACCTACATGCAGACAAAACACTCATACACATAAAATTAAAAATAACTTCAGTATCGGAACTGGAGAGATAGTTTATCAGTTAAGAGCACTGGCTACTCTTCCAGAGAATCTGGGTTCGATTCCCAGCAACCACAAGGCTGCTCACAACCATAACTCCAGCTCCAGGTCGAGGTGGCAGGACGCTCAAAGGAGCAGGCGGGGACATCAGTGTGACAGTTGGGGCTGCAGTGAGTGCAATTGGAAAAGAACAGGAGACTGCAGCAGAGGACTGTCTGTCTCTACCCTCACCCCTTGGAAAACTCTAGATATATCTGGAGTTCGGGGCTCCCCATGCCCCAGAGCTTTTCTCCTGGGCCTGAGGTGGGGGCATGAAGCCAGAGCCTTCTCCTTTGTTCTCCCACACTGCCTTTAGGAGATATGCATTAACTCACTGCTGAGGAAGGGCCACATACCCCCGCCCCCAAGCTAGTACCTCAAGCCGGCAGGAAATCCTCACTAGTTCTCTGAGTTCCTGGCCTTAGGAACTGGAGGGTTAGCTTAAGCTCTGACCTTTCCTAATCAAGGAATGTGGGCATCTGCCTCCGTGGCGGCTTGTCTGTACCCTGGTCTTATACCCGCCTGCCTGGGCAAGCCCCTTCTCACCCCAGCCTTGGCTCAGTCGGCTCCCCTTAGCACCAGTGACTGAGAGATTGAGGCAGGACCTCCCAATGCGAGGCGACATTGTCTGCTTCTCCCTATGTATCCCCAGGTCAGTCCTGACTTAGTGTGTCAGAAAAGGACCTGAAGGGGAGGGAGGGACGATCTCCCCGACACCTGGAGGCTGCTGCTGTAGCGCATGGATGCTGGCCCAGGTGGGGAGTGAAGCCTGCATACGGGAGACACCGAATTCTCACGGGTCAAGCTCTGGTGGCATCAGAGGGTAAATGGCCAGAAGCAGCCATGGCATGGCAGAGGAAAGAGGAGAGCAGGGCCTTTGCAGATGAGTAGTGAGCTCCGGGGCTTCCTAGCTGGGCCCACATTTGGCTGCAGGAACTGAGGCACACTCATGGAAGACTGAGCATCCTGCCTGTGTGTGTGGGCAGGGGGGGGGGGGACTACGGGGGCTGGCTCCCCACTTGTCTCTCTTCTCTCAATGTAAGACACACTGGAGCCTGCTGCCTGTTCACATCAGCTCTGAGCTGCTAACTCCTCCCTGGACAGCACTCGCCTGCCTTTTCACCTGGGCCTCACAGCCCAGCTACCCACTGAACCATGAAACAAGACAAAACCCTTGGGCCAGTTACTAAGGAGACTGGCCCATCAGAGCAAAGGCCTCAGCTAGCTTCAGTAAGTCCCATGTCTGGTCACATGCCCAGGTACACAAGCACATACCCTTAGGCAATTGTGGGAATCTTCACAGCCACCATGTGGGTCTTCCCCAGGGTAATCAGAAGCCTAAAGCCACACACATTCAGTGGGGCTGGAATTCATAAACTAGCTTCCAGCAGGCAGGCACCTCAGCAAATGTCCATGAAGCCAGACAGGGAGAGGCCATCACTTTCCTGTAGCTCCTGTGAGCCACCCCAGGTCCTGCTGAGGCCCAAGGCTCCTCTCAGTTTCTAGAGCTAGGAAGGAGGAGGCAGTTGTGTCTCATGCACACAGGATGTCTGTGACAGGCATACGCGCGCACACACACACACACACACACACACACACACACACACACAAGCACATCACTGACGGCCAGAAACACACACTAGTGTGTGTTCGCCCTTCCAACATCAGGAGAAATGAGTATGTTTCACCTACTTTGAAGAATTCTAGGCTGGCCCTGGTGATGCATATCGGAAATCTCAGCACCAGGCAGGCTGAGGCAGGAGGCAGCAAGTTCAGGCCTACACAGTGAGGCTCTGTCCCTGTGCACACCCCTTCCAAAAATAATACACCACGTGGCAGAAAGAGAAAAATACACACATTGCAGCGGATTTATTGGGACACTTGGCAGTGCTCTTACATGGGATGGCAAAGATTAGAACACAACCTGGGAGGTCGCCATCAGCTCCAGTCCTTTGCCCAACGTGGGTCACATTAAACCCTGCAAAGTATTCCCTGCTCCCTATGAGCTTCCCATATCCTTAGAAGCAATCAAAAGTGGCTTGGGGATACCGCCAGGACAAAACCTTGAGATGAACTACCTTTTCTGGTACTTATCCTAAACTCACGAGGAGCCTGTACCAGAATCAGGTACAGTTTGGGGAACTGCATAGGCCCTACCTTACAGCTGGCCACTGTCCAATTACATAAACTCAGGTCTGCCCCCTGACCAGAGATAATTCAGTTCCTACCTGTGTTGTCCCAGACTGGGAGTGAGTGGGCTGAGGCAGCCTGTGAGCTGAGCAGCCCACACCTGCAGCCAAATCCCCAGGCCTAGCTTCTGCCCAAAGCAGAAGTTCCTCTCTCTAGGCAACCCAGCAGGCAGGCCAGGGATGGCTCCACCTCACCCCAACTGTGGCCAGACTCAAGATACCCTCCTGGTTGTTGCTGCAAAGAGGAAGTAGCATACCAGCAGGGCAGCAGCCTGTGCCAGGACAAGGACCTAGATTTGAAGGTCCACCCTGCCTGGAATCACTTAAGTAAGTGACCCACTTGGTGGCTTGAAAACCAACCTAGACTGTAACCTCCCACCCAGCCCCAAGCCTCCTCCCTATCAACCTCCCCTTGGGAGAAGAAACAAAACAGAACCGGGGTCTTGCCAAACTTCAGTGACACCCGGATCTGCCATCTGTCCTCAGGTTTTCTGGCTCCCACTCTGTGGCATAGGGTGAGTGGTTACTAATGCCTAGACTGGGGATGGAGAGGTAAGGAAGCCCTCAACCAGCTCCTAGCACAGAACGGACTGCCTCAGCAACTGAGGGCCAGAGTGGGCCCTCAGAGTAAGAGCACCCCCTGGGCACCCTGAACCCTGAGGCACCCCATCAGACTGTGCCATCAACAGCTCATGACTGGAGACACGGGCTATCCATCTGGAGAGGAAATGAGCACTTCCCCAACACGTCATCCCCAGGGCACCTTCCCAGCCAGGATTCCAGCAAGTGCTAAGGGTGCCTGAGCCTTGCCTTCTCCCCACCACCCTGCCACCCGGGGACTCAGATGATCACAGAGTGGGGCATTCCTGGGTGTTGGCTCAGGCTGAGGAAGCGGGCAGCTGTAAGCAGGAGGGCACCGCTGAGCACCTCCAAGGCGCAGGAGCCCCAGGCCAGGGCCAGCGACCAGCCGAAGCTGATGTGCACATCCTGTACATGCTGTACCCCATACAAGCGGGCAGTCTCCACAAACGCCAGGTGTGAGTAGCTGATGTAGACGCTGACCCCCGCCAGGGTCAGGGCACCTGGGGAGAGAGGGGCAGCAAGACTGCTCAGACCCAACTTTAGGTCTCCACTCCTAGGACAGGCACAAGCATAGTGAATTCTGAGTTTTAGGGGATGTGGTGCTAGAGAGTTCCAATACAGCCCTCCAACCTGAGACCTCATGGACAAATCACTTGTAAATAGCTCCAGGACTCAGTTATGCCAGAAAAAAAGCACAGATCTGTGGCCCAAACTATCTGGCCTCCATCTACCCTAGCCCTTGGGGTGGAAGGGGAGTGAGTGGATTTCTTTTATTTTGTTGTTTTTAGACAGGGTTTCTCTGCATAGTTTTATAGACCAGGCTGGCCTCGAACTCATGGAGAATGGCCTGCCTCTGTCTCCCGAGTGCTGGGACTAAAGGTGTGTGCCGCCACTGCCCGGTTGAGTGGGTGGATTTCTAACCGCCCACAGAAAAAGCCACAGGTTTAATCTGGGGAAGGGTGTGAAACAGACCCTAATACATTGCACGCTGGGAGAGGCAGGGGTGGGGTCAGCACCACAGAGGAACTGCCATGCTCCCAGGCTTCCCCAGAGCCAGCACAGATTGTGTCCACCTCACCTGTGGCACCCAGCTCCCTGGAATGGCGACCTGTCTCCCAGCCTTAGCCTTCTTACAGTCCATCTCCCATCTGGTCCCTGAAGCCTTGGCTGACAACTCCAGAGCCATCTGCCTCAGCTCCTGATTTCCGGACTCAGGGGACCCCAATCCCTTGCTCCTTTCCCTCTGAGGGCCGAGTACACTGTGCTCAGGAGAGCTGTGGTCAGCTCCCTCCGACTCGCCACATCTACCAGTGTCTTTACTTCAAGAAAAATGCAGAGGCTCCGTGTCGCCATGAAGCTTTCCAGTTAAAGTCCCAATCCCTTATAGTTGTCCAAGGTTTCCCCGTGGCTTCTTAATTGGATTTTGCACTCCTGGGTCTCCCGGGTCAAGGCTGTAGAGACCTGGGTCTCCCGGGTCAGGGCTGTAGAGACCTGGGTCTCCCGGGTCAGGGCTGTAGAGACCTGGGTCTCCCGGGTCAGGGCTGTAGAGACCTGGGTCTCCCGGGTCAGGGCTGTAGAGACCTGGGTCTGAACATCTGTCTCATTAGCTTGTGGCTGCAGGTTCCTCATCTCAGGGCCATCCCACTCCGAACAAAGATCTCTTGGGGAGCCCAGTGCTTCCTGGAGGGAAGCGGGCTTGTCTGGGAGATCTCAGCGTCACAGCTGAGTCATAGCCCTGAGAGTAGGACTGGTCCCAGGCAACAGAACTGCACAAACCTGGCCCCAGTGATAGATAGAGGCTGCTGTAGATGGATAGACCCCTGCAGGGCCACATGCCCACTGTGGTGACAGCTAGCCTAGGTGGCTGGAACAGACTGTACCAAGAAGGGGGCAGACCATCAGTTTCCTTCTGGCTCTGGAAGCCTTGTGTGTCTAACCTGCTGCAGTGGCCTTAAGGAGCCACCGGGGAGCTCTTGGCCCCGTGCTGGGGCTAGTTATAGCCCTGGAGTAGGGCGGGTGAGAGCCAAGGATGACATGCTCTTGCCTGCCCTGCTCTACCTCAACCATTCTCACCTGGTAGGAGAGAGGAGCGGATGGGGTCAAGACCCACACCCCTCTTCTTGCACCATCTGCCCACAGAGCTAGTCTTGCAGTTACCATGGAGACCCGGAAGTCTCTGGGGCCAGGGTAGAGGTAAATGACAGTCAGAGCCCCACTCCCACAATCTGAGGTCCAAGATCCTCCAAGGGACCTCTCACTCACCCCCTAGCAAGAAGTAGCAGCCAGTGATGAGCAGCAGAGGGACACTCTGGGACAGGGAGCTGAGCAAGCCACAGACCCAGCCACACACGATGAGGATGAGGCTGAGAGGCAGGACCACCATGACTGTGCGATGCAGCGCTGTGGGAAGGAAGAGTGGGCTCCGGCAGGCAGAGAGAGGGGCCTGCCTCTAAGAAGGAGCCGCCGACAGTCATGCCTTCACCTGCTCAGGTCGCCCGTAGGGTCGAGCAGATGCCCATCTCCATAGTAACATGAGACCCTCCCAGGGGTCATCCCTTTCTGGTACAGGGCTTCCTGAGGCCAGGCTGAGAGAGGCTCTGCCAATGCCCTCCCCGTCTCACCCCCACCGTCAGGCTCTCAGGGGCAGTAGGTGTCTATGGCCATCCAGCTAGAGAGCTGGCCAGTCCAAAGGGGGGCTTGTGTGTCCCATGAGGTCTAGTCATGCTCTGAGCTGGAGCACATCCTCGTTGAAAAGGAACTGAGGTATGAGGAGGGGAGGGCAGGCTGGGATCCCAGGATCTGTGGTCAGGGGTCTATGATGGGAACACCCTTGGGGTCACCAAGGTCTCAGAAACAGTTTGGTGGGCTGGGGTGAGGCGGCTGGGGTAAGGTGGCTGGGGTGAGGCGGCTGGGATGAGGTAGCTGTGGTGAGGTGGCTGGGGTAAGGTGGCTGGGATGAGGTGGCTGAGGTAAGGTAGCTGAGGTAAGGTGGCTGGGGTAAGGTGGCTGGAATGAGGTGGCTGGGGTGAGGTAGCTGAGGTAAGGTGGCTGGAGTGAGGCGGCTGGGGTAAGGTGGCTGGGGTGAGGTGGTTGAGGTGAGGTGGCTGGGGGGGGTGGCTGGGGTGAGGTGGCTGGGGTAAGGTAGCTGAGGTAAGGTGGCTGGGGTAAGGTAGCTGAGGTAAGGTGGCTGGGGTGAGGTGGCTGGGGTGAGGTGGCTGGGGTGAGGTGGTTGAGGTGAGGTGGCTGAGGTAAGGTGGCTGGGGTGAGGTGGTTGAGGTGAGGTGGCTGAGGTAAGGTGGCTGGAGTGAGGCGGCTGGGGTAAGGCGGCTGGGGTGAGGTGGTTGAGGTGAGGTGGCTGAGGTAAGGTGGCTGGGATGAGGTGGCTGGGGTGAGGTAGCTGGGATGAGGTGGCTGGGTAGGGTGGTTTGGCTTCAGACCTGCCTGAAGAGTCAGAGATAACACTGTCCCAGGACTCACAGAGAAGGTGCTGTATGGAGGGGGAAGCTTCCAAGCTGTCGCTGGCAAACGGGTCAACCAGGGGTACACAGCTGTTGTGTCCTGAAAGTCAAAGTACAAATGGGGGCTGGGAAACACGGGTGTCATAGCCTTGGGATCCTATTGAACTCTTGACTGAGGCCCTGGCAGGTCTTCCTCTGACCTCCATGGAGGTACCTAGACCTAGAGAGGCTAAGGAGATACAAACTGTCACGTTACTCAGAAGCAAGGGACAGAGCCACGGTCCACCTGACCTGTCAATTCCCAACGGCACCCCAACTGTTCCCAGGCAGGCCCCAGAGGAAAGCTCTTCAGAACTTCAGAAAGCATAGTGCCAGCCCGGCCCCCTTCTTCCCACCCACCGCCACGATGGCAGCACCTGCCCCTGAGCTTCTTCAGGCCCTTCCACAGCCCAGCTGTCATCCAGCAATTTGAGGGGAGACTCCCTGGGGAGCGGACCGAGATGCCACAGAGGTTGAGCAGGAGGGAGTTGTAGGGGCAGGAAGGCAGAAAGTGGAAATGGACCAGGTGGGAGGGGAGGGGACCTACTGGGTCTCCGGGAGCATCTCACCTTCGCAGGTGCGCCAGAGCCCAGAATGTGAGGAGAGCTGCTGCGCGCCGCCTCCGGAGCCGGAGCCGCCAGCGTTCGCCACCTCCAGGATGTACCAGTAGTCGCTGGCCACCGCCGCCGCCAGCAGTGCGAAGCTGAGCAGGGCGCCCAGGGCTGCGCTCAGGAGCAACGCGGCCACAAGGGCCATAGGGCAGCAGCCGGGTAGGGATGCAGGGCCGAGTGGGAAGCGCAGCTACGGATGGGCTGCACGGATGGGCTGCACGGAAGGGCTGCACGGGGTGGCGGGGAGTCGGAGACAAAGGGAACTGTGGGCTGGGGGCAGTCAGGGTTCTGGACAGAACTGATGCAGGCTGATGAAGGTTTAGGCGGTGGGAGGGGCGGAAGCCTCAGCAGGAAAGGGCATGGGAGGGGTGTTGAGGAGCAGAAATGGGTGGAGGGCAGGGGCATGGGAGAGGCAGGCGCTGTCCTAGGGTCTTCAGCTACCGCTACTTTCCTGCCACCCTGACTGGCCAAGCTAGCGAGGAAAAGGATGCACCTTTCTGTGCTGGCCAGGCAATAAGGGAAGAGAAGGGGAAATCTAAGGTCGTGGCAGAGCTGGGGACCACAGAGATGAGTTCAAATACCCATGTTGCCACAAACTGGTCGACACAAGCGTGTTCCCTCCCCACCCCTGCCGTGTGGTGCTGAGAAGAGGGTCAGAGGTCAGCCGGAGACTGCTCCCAGGAGCATGGGCAGCGGCAGCCTGCGACTGGACTACTGCACCAATCACCAATAGCTCCTAGGAAAATGCGTTTTCTCCCTGCTGCAGGGCTTATCCCATTGATCCTCGGAACTGATGAAAGCCAGGACCCCAAGCTGAGATGTGTCACACTCTGAGTCGTCCCTATGTGTGCCCAGCTGGGTCCCATATGTTCAGGGCACACACTCACAGGGCACTATTTACAGTGCGCACACCTACAGGACACACACAAATCACACATAGAGACCCCTTGAGGACAGGAGTCAGATGGTAATGGCAGGAGAGACAAAGAGGCCTGACCAGGAGGAACCTAGGCAGTGAAGCTGGGTGGTTGGGGTTACACTCTGGAGAATGCCAGGGCCTCTGAATCATTGCCCTGGGTGGACAGAGCCTGAAGGCGGGGGCCAGAGGTGGTCTTTCTTGAACACAGGAGCTTTGTGCCTCAGGTCAGCCAAGCCCTCCCTTGGACTGTTTGGAGATTTCTCTCTGAAAGCTCTTGGTTTGAGGAATACAGTCCTGAGATAAAAGCCATCTTAGCAAAGTTATTAAAACAATATTTCAAGTGGAATTCAGACAGAGCACAGAATCCTTCCAGTGTTTTGTGAGCTGTTCTTTCTACACATACACTGGGCCATCCCTGCCCACATCTGCTGTGTGGGAACCTCTGCAGCTGGCACTGTCCTGCAGACACCCCTGCTCTGGAGCCAGGTAGTAGCCAGTGGCCCACTGACTGGGAAGGACTAGGAACCCAATGGGTACTCAGAGAGCGGCAGCCTTCCCAAGGCAGGAGGAAAGGGAGAAGGGAGACTCTTGGATTACAGCTGAGGAATAAGGGCAAGTCACACAAACTTGAGGTCACCTAGCTGTTATCTCATGGTGTCACAACATGGTAAGAATCAGTCTTGCTTTCCGCCAAAGGCTCCTTTTATAGAAAATGTGGATTGACATGCTGGTCTCGTAAGCATTGTGGGGTGAGCCACAGAATACTGAGTGTTACAGTTGGGAAGGAAAGGTATTCTGCCACTCAGGAGCCAAGGAGTACCACAGGTCATAGTAAGCATAGCAGCTTACAGCCCTGCTCCAGGGAAAGGCTTCCCCAGTGTAACAGCTCTGCTCCAGCAGGGAAGGGTTTCCCCAGCAAAGTTGTTAGAAAGTGGTACAACCCTGCTCCACTTGCTCAGTAAGAAGTTACTTCTCTCCTCTGCTCCATTCCCGCCAAGGAAGGTCTCACCCAAACCTCATTCAAGAAATTTATTGGGAGGGAAGAATCCAGGAGAGTGGCTGCCTCTGGCATGATGGAAGCAAGCAGGCAGCCAGCCAACCACAAGCTGAACAGACAGGGGGTTTATATGGGGCTTCTTAGGGGCAGAGTTTTTCCAGGGAGATTTCCAGGGTGGGGATTGGTCAGATTTCAGTCCCTGAGCTCAGATTGGCTAGATCTCATGCTCAGGGATTGGTTGGTTTGCTGCTCAGGTTCAGGGTCAAATTTGGCTCTGGTTTCAGGACCATAGTATGTTTCTTTCACTGGTCCTTTTTAGCCTTTTGGCTCGAAGGGCCAGAGTGTATTTCTTTCACTGGCTGTGATTCCAGGGACAAAGTGTGTTTCTTTGGCTGGCCATCTGCCTCCCTCTCATTGAGCTCCCTGCCCTTGAGCTGGTTTGCAAAGGTTCATGCTTCTGCTACAGAACCAGCAGGTCTAGTGCATCTTGTTAGGGTAGGCAGCAGCCATGCCAAGGCCACTGCTACCCTGGGGAAAGTGACAGCAAGAGGCACCCACACCATCTCTGCACTAATTCCCCCAAGCTGAAGGGCTGGAAGATGGCCTGCTAAGAAGTCCATACCCACTTCATTTCCAACCCTGGGTTCTGTGCAGCTGACGCCACTGATTGTCTTTTAGGCAGCAGGCGCTGGTCCCTGAGGGGTGGCTCTAATGAATTCTGCCAGCGTACATCCCCAACTGGACCCAAAAGACACTGAGCCCAGTCTGCAGAGGTGCTGCTTTAGAACGACCCAGCACTCATTACATGCTGTCTCATCAAATGTGTGAGCGTATTAGGCAGGCTGTGTGCTGCCAGTGACTCTTCAACACCAGCAAGATCCATCATCACAGATGTCAAAGACAGGTGGGCTTCTGGAGGAAGACGTCCAGTCTTGAGTAACAAAAACAGGCTGTATCCAAGCCTCTTTAACTAGGTCACATTTGCAGCTAGAACGGGAGTCAGTTTCTAGTGGAAACCATCTGGCTGATGAGCCAGCCTCCTGCCCCAGGCTCTCTGGCTATTGCCTCCAGCCTGAGTTTAGGGAAGCAGTTGGAACTGTCAGCTAAATTACCCTCCAGCAGCTGGGCATCAGTTATACTGACAGCTCATTTTACTGAGCTTGGCAAACATCCTCCCACAGATGAGCCTCAAATTACTGTCCAAGGGGGCCGTTCGTCTACCCAGCATGCGGGATGCAGCTGGCTAAGTCCAGCAAATGCAAGAGCATAGGTCAGAAACACAGAGCTTTTCATCTTGGACAAACAAGTCTGCAGCCAAGACTGTTCACATACGCTTAGGAAGCACTGAGCTGGATCCATTCAGAGATGTGACCATGTCTAGGGGGCAGTAACTGGAAGAGCAGGCAGTCCCAAACCCACAGGTCTTTGTGGCTCCACCTGCTGAGCTGGCCACAGAAATCGGAGAGAAAGAGTAGAGGAGTTGTTGGAGGAGAGCAGAGCCAACAGCATGGCTGTGAGAGGCAAGGACCCTTGTCTAGACAGCTCTCCAGGGAGCCTGCCTCCAGCTGGGACTTTGCTGTGTGAAATGTTTCCAGCACCATGTCCCCGCCACTCTACCATCAGACTACATTTAGTGAGCAGAACCCACACCTCACTCCTGACCTGTGCACACGCCTGTGCTGGTGCAGCTGTGCTCCTGACAAGGGCTTGGATGACATAACAACGTTCAGAGATGCCTCTTCCTGTTGCCACCCAGGGTGCTCAGGCACACTTGCCCAGGGCTCTTGCTGGCCTTTTATCTTCTTAGAGTTCAGAAAGCAAGTAGAGACTTTGTCAGCTGACTTCAGGAGATGGGGTCCTGGGTGCACTGCCAGTGAATGCACTCAAACTAATGTCATCACTTTGGTAACTAAAGGGCACAGCCCTTGGGGGCCGAGACCCAGTTTGTTCCCTCCCTGTGGAAACCTATCAAGTCCCATGGACTTTGCCAGTGGGCAGTGGGCAGGAAACATGCAGCTGTGCTGTCTCCTGACTGTCCCCTGACTTGGTTCAAGATTGAGGTGCAGTGGGCCAACGGCCAAGCTGGCCTCTGTACAGGCGTCTTGGTCTGGAGCCTGCCCCACCTGGGCTCAGATGTCCACTTGGTGCTTGCCCATGGCCTTGATGAGTTCCCACCCATGTGTTGGCTCTGCCCTCCTATTTCTGATTTCCGTTTGGTGAGGTGGAAATAGGCACAGAGACCCAGCTCTTAACGTGCACCACAGTTCCCTTGTCCTTTGTACAGAGCTGCTGCAAGGCCTCAGGGAGGCCACCAGAATGTGTCAGGTGGTTCTGGAGACAGTCAGGCCCCAGATGTGCAGAGCAGCTCCTAAAATGGCTGCCCAGCAGCTATCTAAGTGAACACAGATATCTTGCAACATTCGTTGAACCAAAGTCCGATCCTGAGATGGCTGGTTTGGTTTGCCAGTGCTCTTTCTGAAATTCAGTGGCAGGCTGGGTCATTCAGAGCTGCTGGGGAGCCTCTGCAGGCCACCTGGGCTGTCATTTCTTCATTGCTTCATGCCCTCCCTACTGGCTTCCTGTGCTGATACTCTGGAGTCAGTGAGGCTGGGAAGCCAGGCAGAGAGCAGAACTGGACTCTGGCCAAAGACGCTTGAGAAGAAGTTTATCAGCATGGTCTGTATGGGATAAGCACAGCTGTGAAATCTGTCACAGCGCAGTGTGCCTTTCCCCGCATGCTTGGAGAATGGTCACGTGGTTTGTTTGAGTAGGGTGTCCTATGGGCCAGGATGACCTCGGCCCCATACGTACAGCTTAGGGTAACCTTGAACTCCTGATCCTTCAGCCTCCGCTTCCACCCAGTGTCTTAGTTTATCCTGATGTGTGATCAAATATTCTGACGAAAGCACTTGAAGGGCAGAGTTTCCTGTGGCTCAGTCCATCATGGTGGAGAGTCAGGACAGGTCAGCAAGCAGCTGGTCAGTCAGGAAACGGAACAACAGCTCTCCATTTATACAGCCCAGCACTCCACATCAACTAATGTGATCAAAATAACCCCCAAAAGCCCATCTCCCAGGTGATTCTAGACCTGCCAGGTTGACAGCATGACCATCACCCCTGACTGCCTTGATGGGGTTTCATTAGGGAACGAAACCCTGCCCCATGGGAGTCATGCTGTAATCCCTGTACCTTTTCACTGCTGTTCAATTATGCAGCTCATGCTGGGACTGACACTTAAATGCCACCCAATTTATGACATCATAGGGTAAAACGAACAGCACCTGGTACAGTGTCATGAGTCAGCGTCTCAGCACCTGGGAGGCAGGGGCAGCAGGACTGAGTTCACCCCCTCTCAAAAAGCCAAACCATTTCCAAGACAGAAAGAGCTTGCAATCCATTTTTTAAATGATTTTATTCCATCACCCTGCAGTAGAAGACTCACGCCAGAGGACAAATGAATCACCAGCATAATACATAACCACACCTACAGTGCACGGGAGGCATCAGCTCCCGGTAGGAAAACATGAAGACCAGAAACACCTTGCAAGGCCCCCCTCCCCCCACAGGTGCTGTCACTGGACACTGCCCTTCTCGCCCACTCGTTTCCTCAATGCCTCAGTCCAGGTCACAACAGAGCAAAGCCACAAAATCAAGAGAGGGAGGCACACAGGCTGAGCCACTTCCAAGCGAAGACAAAAATAATATTTGACATCCAGTTTCAAAATATCATTATTTCTTTCTTTAAGACACTGCTAAGCGGCCCAGGCTGGGAAAGCTGGGACACGTGGCTTAAATGTGGCATGTCACTCAGGTCCAGGTCACCCCCAGCAAAGGCTCACTTCGAGGCAACCAGCTGCTCAATGGAGCAGCGAACGGTCTTTGCAGTTTCTTCAAATTCTTTCTGCTTGCTGTTGGTCTCCTTTGCCTGGAATAATGAAAGGATACATTGGGGCTGGGGTGTGGCCTAGAGGGGCTTGCCTAGCAAGAGTGAGGCCTTCATTACATTACCAGCATGACAAAATAACTAAATTATTATAAGAAAAACTAGTGTGTATAGCTTGAAATTGAACCTAGGGCCTTATGTATAATAAGCAAATACCCAAATACTGCAACTTCTTTCTTGCTTTTTTTTTTTATTTTTTTATTTAAGAAATAGGAACTCATGCTGCCCAGGATAGATAGCCTTTAATTTACAATCGCCCTCCCTCAGTCAACCAAATTAGTTGGGATTGCACCCTAGGCTGTATCCTATGCCACCAAACCAGGGTTAAAGAAATCTTAATTTAAAAATACTCAATTAAAAAAAAACAACAAGAAAAAAGCCCCTGGAAAATGGCAGTCTTCTTGTGGTGGGCACTCCACAGACCCACAGAGCAGCAGCCTTAAAAACATCCAGGCGGCTAGAGATGGCTCAGCTGCTGAGTTCCCAGCACCCACATGGTGGTTCACAACCATAGCCAGCTCCAGTTCTAGGGGTTCCAATGACCTCCTCTGACCTCCACAAGCAGAACATCCCATACACATACAAAAAGTATAAATAAATAAATGGCAGTGCACGCCTTTAATCCCAGCACTCGGGAGACAGAGTTGGATGGATCTCTGTGAGTCTGAGGCCAGCCTGGTCTTCACACTGAGTCCCAGTGCAGCCAGGGCCAGGGCCAGGGCCAGGGCCAGGGCCAGCTAGCAGTCAGCCTTCAAGCATCAGGGACACAGTGCCTCTGCCTCCTTCTCGGTGCTTTGCCAGTAAACCCCTGCCTGGTTAAATTTGAACTTCAGATAAACAAACAACTGCAGTGAATAATCCATGAAAAAACGGAGGACAATGTTTACTGTGAGCTCTGGCCTCTGGCCAACCTAACTCTTGTCTGCATGGGAGCCGCCTGCCTTCCCAGTGAGGTCCACGTGAATGGACAAGAGGCCAAGTCCGGCTGGACCTCGGCTTCTGTCCCCCCCTTAGCCAACACTCTCAACCACGGTTTGCAAACCTCTACCCACACTGCTGCAGCCTGTGTCACGGGCTTCCCACAGAAGTCGCCACCTAGGTGAGAAGGTGATCCTGGTTAGGAACCACCTTTCCTAAGGGGACAGGTCTTCTGACTGTACAACCCCAGGACCATACTCTAGGTCGGTCCTGTCTGTCCTCAACCCCAGACGCTCCCCAGGGTTTGGAGCACTTCCTGAGGCAGACCCTCCAGGGCTTCTGGGGGACTGGCTTTGCTCTCAGTCAGCATCCTCGGTAATACATACAATTTTGTTCTTGGCTCTTTCTTTGTCCAGTTTCAAGAATTCACTGAGGGTCAGTTCTTCAAACTGCTTCTTGACAGTCAGGAAGGCACACTTAGGTGAATTGCTTTTTATGTTCCTGCCTGGAGAAACCAGTAAACCAACATGGCATCACCACCAACAGCCCATCTCTCATCACCATAGCTGTCCTTGGCATACACCGCTCTGCATCAAGAGCAAAGCATCAAGTCCAAAATGATCGAGAACACCCCACACAGCCCAGCTTCTCTCCACAGCCCAGCTTCTCTCTGCTGTGTCTCCCCCACACAGCCCAGCTTCTCTCTGCTGCGTCTTCCCTACCCTTATGGCTACATCCTTCTCTGGAGCCCTTTAGCAATCATAGGGAAGGCTGTGTGGTTTAAACTCAGAAGAGCTGAAGAAATGGCTCAGTGGGTAATAACACTGCTGCTCTCCCAGAGACCCTGGGTTTGGGTCTGAGCACCTGCAGGGACTCTAGACAGCCTGGACTCTGGCAAGCAGGACTCCGTCAGGCCTTGCCTTTCTCTCCCATCTCCTCTGCCCTGCTAAAAACTATTAGATTACATTCCTAAAGCTAGCCACTAAGTTCCATTCCCTCATTTGGCCACTTCCTCCTCCTGAGGCTGACTGCCAAGGTCCAGCTACCAAAGTATTGAAGTCCAGCAATCAGAAGCCCCCTAATTAACATGCCCAATCAAAATTAAACACCTCATCCTAACACGGGGCTTCTCCTTTTATCTTTATAAATGCTGCTTGCCCTGGGTCACATCTGTCTCCTGTAGGGAGACACCGTAACCAGATCAGCTCAGCTCCACTAGAAGAATGGGTTCTGCATACTGCCCACATGGACTATAATATACAAGATGCTGGGATCTGGGCAGGAGAAGCTGTCCCAAGAGGTTTCAAAAGACAGCAGGAGATTAAGAGTCCCATAGATGATGACAGAAGGGCTTGGGAAGGAGCAACACCTTACAGGGATTGATACAGGTACCAAGAGGCCAGAGTTCATCACTACTATGAACCAGAGCCTTGGGTAGGAAGAGCCACTCCAGGAGTCCATGGAAGCGTCAGGAACCTAGATGTTTCAGCTCTGGTAGAATGGGACATATAAGGAGAAATTGTAGGCAAAGAAATTCTAAAGATCCCTCATGCGAAAGACCACTGCCATCTGGGTTGTGTAGGAGATGTGGTAAGGACAGACACTGAATCAATGAGTGTAGATAGGCCAGGGACATGCAAGGGAACCCGTTAAGGCCAGAAAGCTCCAATGGGGGCCTCCAGAAGTCCCCCACATCAAAGAAGGTTCAGTCATTTCCAGTAACTGTAGAAGACAATCTGTCACAGGATGAATAGATAGCTCTTCGTCTATTGTGACAATGTCACAGATGGTAGTCTGGCTATCGATAATGAATCAGGTAAGACTGGACAAAATGAAAAGCGCATATTTTGGCAGACCTCAATCAAAGACAAGCAACCTGACTTACGGGTACAAATTAATGATAAAATTGACGGGATAGTGGACACAGGCGCTGATGTCACTATCATTACCCACAAGTCCTGGCCAAAGGAATGGCCACTCAGGGAAGGGAATGTACAATTTTTGGGTAGTGGAACACTATCTAGAGTTCAATAGAGTGTTCGCTCAGTGGTCTGCATTGGACCGGAAGGACAGAGGGAGAATAAAACCTTACATGGCAAATATAGCTATAAACCTATGGGGCCATAATCTCTCTCTCTCTCTCTCTCTCTCTCTCTCTCTCTCTCTCTGGTTTTTCGAGACTGGGTTTCTCCGTGTAGCTTTGGAGCCTATCCTGGCACTCTCTCTGGAGACCAGGCTGGTCTCAAACTCACAGAGATCCGCCTGCCTCTGCCTCCTGACTGCTGGGATTAAAGGTGTGCACCACCAACACCCATCGGTCATGATCTCTTACAGCAATGGAAAACTCAAATTAACATCCCTCCAGTGTCAGATACGAATTATAGAGAATCGCTGGATAGTAAAAAGGATCGGGTAAGACGCTATGGAAAATGGTTACCAACCATCCAGGCTGTACAGAAACTAAATACAAATGATAGACCTTCTGAGGAACCAAAGGCCCTGCCATTAAAATGGCTTACAGATAAACCTGTCTGGATAGGGCAATGACCTTTGACCTCTGAGAAGCTAGAGGCTCTAGAAAAGTTAGTATAGGAACAGCTAGAGGCTGGACACATTGAGAAGTCTACCGGCCCTTGGAATTCTCCTGTACTTGTTATCAAAAAGAAGTCAGGTAACTGGAGAATGCTGACATACCTGAGAGCCATAAATAAGGTAATTCAGCCTATGGGCTCTCTACAGCCTGGAATGCCATTGCCTTCCCTAATACCTAAAGGATGGCCGATCACAGTTATTGACTTGAAAGACTGTTTTTCACTATACCATTACAAGAAAGTAATAAAGAGAAATTTGCATTTACTGTACCAAGTCTTAATAACTCACAGTCAGTTCGGAAATATCAGTGGAAGATTTTACCTCAGAGGATGCTAAATAGTCCTACTTTATGTATGCTGCACAAATAAAACCTTGACAATGCTCCAACAAATGTCTCCAACATATTGGAAGTTTTTCAAATATTGTAACATAAAGCATGTGACTGGTATACCACACAATCCTACAGGTCAGACAGTGGTTGAGAGATCTAATAGAACACTAAAGGAGGTGCTCCATAAACAGGTTGGGGGAACAAAAACCCCCAAACATAGGTTACATAATGCTTTATTAACACTAAACTTTCTTAATGCCAATGAGAAAGGACAAACAGCTGAGGAAAGACACTGGACTATGGAAAAAACTGCTGAACTTAATCAGCCTGTATACTTCAAAGATGTACTAACCTCTGTATGGAAACCAGGACATGTGTTAAGTTGGGGTAGGGGTTTTGCATTTGTTTCCACAGGAGAAGAAAAACTTTGGATACCATCAAAGTTGATCAAGATTCTTTGAGTTGCAAAAGACAAACCTCTCGACAAGGATGAGTGACAGGAAAACCCATCTCCAGAAGACCAAGAACACTACATGGGTAGATGCTTAAGAAGAGAAGGTAGCTATAACCATCAAACAAAAGGAACGTGCCATAAGGTAAACTTTACAGCTATCTCTCAAATAACTATTTCTCTTCATTTCCTAGTCCCTATTCAAGTAAATCAATGCTGGATTTAGAGTCGGATTTGGCTTTCCTCCCCTAAAATCCAAGCACGTTGGTTAACTATAGAGTTTCTGTATTATATCAAGAAGCCAACTGATGTAACACAGAATGAGAGAGGAATTGGGGGACTGTCTTTTTCTTGTCTCTTTTCTTCAAGGTGTACACCGTCTCACAATCATTACTTTTCCACGATTGCCTTTTCCAGCATACATACATGTACAAGCAAACATTTCTCTGCCGACACTTATGTTTGAGTCCCACACAGCCAATGAAGACCCGCCTGACAGCAATCCCTGGACGCTCTGGAAAAGGAATTGGGCCACACCTCCTAGATGCACTGGATCCAACTTACTCTGTTTCACCTGACACTCCGACCACAGCTTAAGTACTGACTTCAATCAAGTTGATATTTCAACCTAGATCTTCAATCAAGCAAATCCCATCTAACATGGACTTGATATAACCCGTTATATTCTTTCACTATACTAACATTTTTTCCCACAGGACTCCACAAGGCTACCATCGTCCCATTTCAACAGGAAGTAACTTGGAGGATGCTCCGCCCCCATTCCCCATTATTGTCTATTAGGGTAGTGTAAGCCTAGTTAGGAATGACTTTCCTGTTGTTTAGGGTTGGGATTGGAGGAGGTGTGGTGTTCAGGTTGGACACCTCTTTCAGATGACTTTAGGGTTTAGCTAAAATAGACATAGGATGTACAATAGCAGATTATTGTATCTTCTTGTATTTCACCTTTAAGACTGTTAATTTTGGATATTTTACACTGTTAAGTTTTAATCCTCTTTTAGACTAAAAGGGGAATTGTAGGGAGACACCGTAACCACGCCTCCTAAGGGCTGGCCTCCTAAGGGCTGGCTACAAGTGTGCCTGACTACATCTGTTAAGGCGTGGTCAAGGTGAGGTCAGAGTGACACGGCAGGGGCTCTTAAGTGTCCACGAGGACATGAAACAGTCTCTTCCCCTTCGGCTGCCCCTTCTCTGTGGCCTTCCTGCCTTGCTGCTCCTGGGCACGCTCTGGCTTGTGTTTGGCTGGTATTTATCTGAATAAAGGTATCTTGAATCTACAAGCCTTTTCCTTCAGTCTCCTCTCTCTCTATCCAGAAACAAATGCCCCTGCCCCCTTTCCCTTGTGCTCTATCTCCTTTACCACCACATCCTAGCCCATTCTAACAGATTATCCCCCCCTCTCTTCTTAAAAGTGGCACCTGCAAGGTCATCTGCTGCTGTTTTCTGCCTGAGTCAGAAAGCAATCACTTTAACTTTTCTTCCCTGGTTAATAAAAGGTCTCTGTGAAAACAGGTGTTGGGTGTAGTTTGTGCCTAATCCAGGGTCCAGGAGGAAGCCCCCTCTGTGTGCAAGTCCCCTCAGCACCCATATGACGGCTCCCACCATCTGTAACTCCAGTTCCAGGAGACTGGTTCCCCTCTGAAGGGTATCCAGTCATGCAGACGGTGCACAGACATACACGCAGGTGAAACACCCATACACAGAAAATTTAAAAATAAAACAAACTCAGAGGAATTGCATGCCAAATCCCTTTAAAATATGTGAAAATAACCAGGCGTTGGTGGTGCATGCCTTTAATTCCAGCACTTGGGAGGCAAAGGCAGGCAGATCTCTGTGAGTTCAAGACCAGCCTGGCCTACACGAGCTAGTTTCAGGACAGCCTCCAAAAGCCACAGAGAAACCCTGTCTTGAAACCCCCACCCCCCCCAAAAAAAAAATCTGCAAAAATGGCTCAGCAGGTGAAGATGCTTGCTACCAAATCTGCTAACCTGAGTTTAATCCCTGGGACTCACACGGTAGAAGGACAGGACTTCCCAAAGTCTTTGTCCTGACATCCACACCTACCACAACACCCACATACAAAGACACGCAGAATAAAACATAAAGTAACAATAATATAAAAAAAAATAATCTGTGGCTAGAGATGGGATAGTGGTTAGGAGTCCCTGATGCTCTTCCACAGAAACCTGACTTCAGTTCCCAGAACCCCCACATCAGGGATCTCATAACTGACTATAACTCCAGCTCCTAGGGATCCGACACCCACACCGGTGGCAGAAATGAAGACATGCATGTGGCATATTAGCCAAAACAAACAAACACCTGAATCTTAAAATATCTCAGGCAGGCCAGGCCGTGGTGGCGTACACCACTAATCCCAGCACTGGGGAGGCAGAGGCACGAAAATCTCTGAGTTTGAGGCCAGCCTGGTCTACAGAGAAAGTTCTTGAACAACCAGAGCTACATAGAGAAACCCATCCCAAACAAACAAAAATCAAAACAAATACCTCAGGCAAAACCATGCAAGCTGGCAGCACTAGGGAAACCGAGGCAGATATGGAGAACTCAAGACTAGTCTTAGGTATATAACAAGTTCAAGGACAGCCTGGAACACGTAACGAGTTAGGAAGACCATGCTCTCCTACTAAATTCAAATCGTTTTCCCCCCAACTCCAGTTCAACCCAGTAAGTTCCCATTGGAACCGGGGCACCAGGGACTTACATGGGGTTGTCATCTGGCTCCCAGCCTTCCAGCTCCTTAAAGCAGAAAAAACACTGGGCCAAGTCAGGCTCGTTCTCGGTAGGGCAGTGGATGAAGCCGGCTTCCGCCATCTGAAAATGACAGCACAGCTCGTGAGCAGAACCAACCGTCTGGTTTTGATTCTGTCACTCCCTGGGGTCGTTCCGGGCCGGCCTCTCTGGGGACGGAGGGAAGAGGTCGGCCCTGTCTGGCCCTGTCTACCGGGCGGGCCTGACGCCTGACAACAGCCGTAGCGAAGGCTGGGGGATTAGTGGGGTGCCCTGGTCGAGGACAGTGCAGCCCTTTCACGTCCTGGGCGGAGCAAAGCAGCCCAGGGAACAGTGCGAAGCGAGGGTGCGGCCCAGGCAGCGGGCCGTCTGTGTGTGTGTGAGCACCACTG